TGGATGTACTTGCTCGGTGTGGGAGTTGGATGAAGCAGAAGGGCTAGCAAGAAGCCTACCTATGAAAGCTAATTCCATGATATGGCTGGTTTTACTGAGTGCATGCAGGATGCATTCTAATTTGGATGTAGCTGAGAGAGCTGCCAAAGAAATTTTTGAACTGAAACCTGATTCAAGTGCAGCTTATGTTTTATTATCTAACTTGTATGCTTCTGCAAGCAAGTGGAGCGAAGTAGCTAGGATACGAAAAATGATGAAACATAAAGGAGTTTCAAAACAACCAGGGTCCAGTTGGATATCCTTGAAAGGTTGGAGGCATGAATTCCTTTCTGGAGATAGGTCCCACCCTCTCAGTGAGAAAATTTATCAAAAGCTAGACTGGTTAGGAGTAAAGCTAAAAGAAATAGGTTATGTTCCTGATCAACAATTTGCTTTACATGATGTTGAAACTGAACAGAGGGAAGAAATGTTGTCTTATCACAGTGAAAGGCTTGCAATTGCATTTGGGTTGCTTAAGACTGTGGAAGGCAGTACAATAACAGTGATGAAAAATCTCCGTATATGTGGGGATTGTCATAATGCAATAAAGCTTATAGCGAAGATTGTTAATCGTGAGATCATAGTAAGAGACTCGAGTCGATTTCATCACTTCAAGGATGGCATTTGTTCTTGTGGGGATTATTGGTAATATACAATTTTGTCCTTCTAATGAGTACTGCAAATCTACTACCAAGGCATTTTATATAATGCTGGAAAGAGGCGTCACTATGGTGCTTGCATGTTGGTTTTCATGAAACTAAGTCTCTTGGACTTCTTTTCAGCCAGTTTAAAAGTTTTTGGAGGCTGAATTTGACATGAATACCACCACTTGAGCCAATGCTTCTGAGGCAATGAAAGAGTAGCCTAAGCTACATACAGAACTCTTTTCTTGTACTGGTGGAGTGGCATTTCTTTTGGGAGATGTGCTCCTTCAATCTCGATACAGGTAGTTCATATAATGGGTTAATAACCATAATTGCTTATCGATTTTCTCACTGAAAATGCATTTATTCAAATTGAGGCACTGAATGTAGTGTTATTCCTTGCTTTGCAATTTTGATTCATGGAATCAAACAATCAGTTTTTGAAAGTATTTTTTCTATATTTAAAGCTGTTCCTGTTCATTTTATGCTCGTAGTAGTAGCCAAATTAAGTGCTGAGATAGTTTAATGATTAAGTTGCAAATGATTGACACATTCGACAAATGGACTTGGAAGAAGCCCAAAAATGGGTGCTTCTATCATCAAAAGGAATGGGTTTTGGCTGCAGCTTAGTACTTGTCAAAAAACAGTATTACCTCAACTAAGGCATGTAATTGATCGTTGTTATTTCTTTTGCTGTATCAAAGCAAATACCTAATAAAATAGTAGTCCTGTAATTTGAAAATTGTGTGTATTCAGATACACCTTTGTCAGACCTCAGAAACGTTAATATGTTTGCTTTGAATCAATTGTGATGATTTGTCAGCTATAGTTGTGTTGTCATAACATTGTCAGCATTTATGGCTTTGAAGAGGCTTTTTGTGCGTGGCCTTACAAATGCCTTGGGCTTATGAGGGATGAGCTGGGGTGGGCTCTTATGGCCGAATAAGTTTTCATACTTTTATGGCCGAATAAGTAAATACCTAATAAAATGAAATGTACGGAACGATTTATTTTTATTATGAAGAATCTAGTATGGCTTTTGGTTCCCCTCCATGAACTTTTCTTTTGCATTGGCTGGTGAAATGCTCTACTGTTATCGCCTTCATATAGAGGTTACTTTCTATTAATGACGATCAGAAGAACTTTGGATCAACCATTCTTTTTGCATGCATTCTTTAGTGACATTAATTGTAATAGACTATGGGGATCTTTGCTTGTGAAGTGAAACTGATTCTGCTTCCGTCCTTTTGTGATAATTTTCAGGTTGTTGGTGAAGCTATTGGATGGTTTTTTTTCCCTTGTTAATTCTTCTAATATGCTAGAAAACCATTTGGGTTACAACAGAATCTCTTGCAACTCTATTTTCAGTGGCTTATGAGACGAAGGTAAATTTATATTTCTAGCTCTTGCTTTTCTTTCCTTTAAGAAGCTTGCCACGTTTTTGCACTTAACTGATTATATGTAAATTATTGACCAATAAAAAAAAAAAGCTCTTTATATAAATTAAACTGCAAATTCAAGTTAGACTTTCTGTGCTAGAGCCAAATCTTCGTGGGCTGTAAAAACTCATTTGTGCACCCTCTTGTATCTAGATCCTTACTTCTAGGCCTATTTGATTGCATCTATTGGAAGAAAATATCTTTCCTTTTTTGATACATAAAGGGAATATCTTTCTATCATGCAAAGAATGAGATATAGCATATCTGTTATTTAATCATAATCATCCTTTCTTTTTAATTTTTTAATTTAATGGATGAAAATATCTTTATCTATGTTTTAGCCATATCTTTATCTATGTTTTAGCTTTTCCATTCCATTTTATTTTACATATCAAAGCTGCGTGCTTGAGTTTTGCAGCGATTCTTACAGTAGCTTTTGAAGCAGATTTATTTAAAATGGAAAAAAAAAATTATAATGTATGATTTTCTAAATTCACCCACTGGAGACTTATTAACAATTAAGCAGTATACTCGTTTACACGTTCAAAAAAGTGTCTAGCCGTTTATCCATTATCTAGTTAGGTTTCAACGGTCAGGAGGAGCTACTCTATTGAGGTGGAACCCATTAATGAAGTTAGTGGAACTCCATAATTTCAAGACTCCTGGGGTACTACATATACATGCGAAAATCTGCTCATGCTATTGTTTGTCCTATATTTCTGAGATTTTTATGCATCTGGAGTTGCTCTCAGAGTTCCAAACAGCTTAATTTGTACATTTTCATGACCTTTTGAAACTATTGGCCTGTTTGTTTCACTTAATCATGGGAAACTCAATGGATTGTAATGATAGGGAATGGAATGTACTGTAATAATGTTTACATACTTTTATTTGTTATGTCATCAAGGAAAGATAATGCTTTGGTATCGAAATGTTTGGCTGGATTACAAATAACGTAGGAATAGATAACAACAAACCTAGAGACAAAATCACCCTTTACCAGATTATGCTCCTTGTATGTGGGTGTCTATATACATGACATGTGTACAGTGGCTTTGCTTTTATACTGTTGCAATCATGTTTATTTATCCCGTTAATTCTTTTCTCTCGTTAGCTTTTATGCAGGACATTTATAATTAAATTCCCTATGTAAATTCTCAACAAACTCCAATATTGAGTGGGCTACTGGAAGACGAGTCCTTCAAAAGCAAGCAGTCATTAGTTGGCTGCAAATGTTGTTGCTTAGATGTAATGAAATTTTGTATCTATGTTAAGTCCTTGCTTAGCATTAAATAATCTCAGCTTCAATTTTAGACACACGGTCTTTGCTCCAAATGTGATAGATCTTCAAATTAAGGCAAGCATTTATTCCTGAAATTTCCAGGTTGCTTCTTAATCTGAAAATGAAGAATGATAGTCATACAATAATTTTAGCGTCATCATATAACAATATACATTGACACATTAATAATAATATAAACACGGTTGACACATCTATCATCAAACAATTTATAAATTGAATCAAACCTTTTGTATTCCATGCCAGTAGTGACTCTTGCATCGCTCGGTGAAAATGGCTTTCGCAGCGTCTTTCATCCTTGGGCCTAACCAACAAGACAAGAGCAGCTGCTGATCCTCAAGTCGGTCTTTCGAGGGAACTGGAGAGTCACGAAATCGCCATAGATGAGCTCAACCATCTTCCATCTTCTAGGGTATCTCCTTTTTTGTGCTGCTTTTTCCTTTTTTCAATTCCCATTGCTCGTCTCCTAAATCGTTGCTCCAAAGCAGGGAACTCAGTTGATTTAGCCAGCGGAATTTACAAACATTAGGCTGTTAGGCTTCGGTAAAGTTTGGAAGAATTAACTTTTACAGTTTTGATACTTACGAGTCCAATGGAAGAACTGGCTGTTTAATCAATTTGTAAGCTGAATGGCAGTAGGCTTAGCTAAAGTTTGGGAGAACTAATTCGTAAACCTATATGGATATTTAATGGGATGTTAGATTTTACGGTTTTTCCTTTGAGTTACACATAATTTGTGTATGATATTTTTTTGACGGTTTAATCATGGAGCACTGACCTGTAAATAGAAATTTTCACTTTAGAGAAAATGACTGCAAACACCTTAAATAGAGGTATCTAATTTATTTCCAATGTAATATCTTTTGGATTTTATGAGTGGATTGAGAGTGCCGCTATATTCTTGCCTCTCCCTGTTATTGATGCAAGGGATCTTGCCATGCCTTCATGTAGCTAAACCAGTGAAGATATTTAGGGGCGTGGTGAAAACTATGAAACTTTCTTATTGCCCTGAATTTCCTATGTTGCCATATAACCCTCCGGTCCGCGATATATGTCCTATTCTCCCTACATTACCTGGTCCAAAATATAAATTCACTTTGATAATATTTAGACTATTTAATACTTTTTTCCTATTTTCCCTTTTGTACAATTGAATATTATAAGTAATTAATTAATTATAGTTGATATGTTCTTCACGTTAGATTTGGGAAGTTTTACAGATGTTTTATATCTTTAATTATGTAACTTCCATTCTACTACCAGTTTTTGTTTGTACGCCGTAGTTAAACTGGACCTATGTTGAGGACCAAAGAAGTGTAATCCATGAACGTGACCTGTTCCTCAAATTCCCTGAAATGGGGAAAACGTGTCTAGGGGGAAAAGAAAACGAATTTTCTTTATGCCATGTCTCAGTTTTGAAGGGCCCCCTTTGTCCTAAATTTGAGTGTTCTTCATGTGATGGTGGAGAAATGATGGATGTCTTGTGGGTATGTATTTAAGAGGGTTTTGTAGCACCTATCACTGAAGCCCTATTGCTTACTAAAAATAACCTATTTTAATCAGCACAAGATGATTATAAGCAATAGAATATAGATAACTGGTTGAAATGATAGCTCGTAACCTTGTCAATTTAGATGGCCGGTCACTTTGTTTTGTTCTTTTTGTCTGTTGGTCACTTCTTACCTGCTATGAATAATAGTTTTGTTTTGTTTTACGACCTCTTTCTTTTTAGTTATTGCTTTCTCTTCTATTTCTTGTTCTTGTTCTTTCTGTCCCTTGTGCTGGGGAAACATGCCTTCGTAGTAACTGACTAGGCTTGAGAAGACACATAAAGAACTTTAGGATTTCATTTTTCTTGATGCAGGCTGTCTATCAGAGAAATGGGAACTTATTTTTCCGCATAACCATCCAAAAACAACAGCAATGGAGCAGAATAAGAAATCATTACCATTTGACTTTGTTCTTTCCTTAAATAAAACCAAAATGCTTTTAAGTTGCCAAAAAGAAGTCCTGATAATATTTTCTCCGTACACTATTCTTGGGATGAAGAAGAACTTGATTCAGCCAAAGCAAAACTGAAAGCTCTGGATTCTTCCTCATGGCCATAGTGCTTACCCACTTTCTGAGCGTTGATTGTAAGGCATTGGAGATTCACTCGAGATCTGTGATAGTGTGATGTACTAGATTCTGTTAGTTGCATAAAATGCTTTCCCTTCGATGATTTAACTCTAGGCTACATGATGAATGTGTTGTGAATATATGAAAGGACCTAAAAAGATTTCCTTTTTGGTTTTTCAATTTCTGTTACAAATTGAGTTCAATTTATTCTATATTTTTCTTTATTCGTTTTTATTCTGTGCGCTCAATAGAACTTCAATATTTGATCAAATCGTCGAATCTAATAAATTAATAATAGCGTTCATTAGAGTTCGAAAGTATCCTGTGCCTTTCGGTCCTGAATGCCCTTCACAAAGTACTAGTACTTGGTACTTTTCATATAAGTGAGCCTAACAAAATTTGTCAGGTGGATCTCACCCCATCTGTCTTATCACTCTCTCTCCTGCACGAGAGAATCCGTACATGTTTTCATCCCCATTCGGACTGGATGCTGGACTGATGGCTTGCACTATTTTGCCTCCGCCAATAAACAGTGTTTTTCTCTTCATCATGGTTTTCCTTTTAGGCCCATGCCCTTGTAACTTAGTGGCGTCAAGCTCCCTTATATGTGAAAAAATTACGGGTTCGATCTCGCTTATAACCTTACATCTTTGGGTCTCTTTAGTATGAAGTATTGAAGATGAGAGATAGATATTAGAATTACAGCTAAGAAAAATCATTAAAAAAGTATTTTGTATGAGTAATTGTTTGTCATGTGGGATTAGACAAATCTATGAAGGTGAGGTTGGAAAATACCACTTTTTCTTATAGTATTTCCTAATCCCATATATATGGGTTTGTCTAATCTCACGTAACAAGTAATCTCTCATGCTAAATACTTTTTTAATAGATTTTTTTAATTTTAATCCCAATTCTTATCCTTCATTTTCAATGCTTTACATCAAATAGGACCTTGAGGAAATAGGTACTTTGTCAAAGAGGCCATTTATCCCCTTGCCCTTAGCCCCAACATGGCAACATCAACCACGTAATGTGATTCTATTCTTCACCCTTTTTTGGCTTTTCATCTCTCATTTTGGCTCTCTTACCTACCCTTTACTGTCACTACCTTGTGAGGTTGAGGATTCTATCAATCAATCAATCAATTATATTCTTGAAAACTTGTAATACCCGATTCGTTTAAAAACGGGTCGGATATGATATTATAGGATCCGAATATCTTTAATTAATGAGATTTAAATAACATCTTAATTGAGATTTGAATACATTGAGTTAAATGGGAAATATTATAAATAAATGCAATTTCAAATAGAGATTCAAATGAAGAAATTAATAATTAACTTTCAATTTGAATAATATCTTAATTGAAATTTGAATATATTAAATTAAATGAGGGGTATCATAATTAAATAGCATGTCAATAAAAAGCTTAAATAAAAAAAAATTTAAATTTTCATCTATTCGCCATAAATTCTGTATCTCTAATTCAAATTCCATTAAAATGAATAAAAAAAAATTCCTATTAGAAGTAAATTTTAAACTATCTTAAATAATGCAATTTATTAAAATTTTAAATATAATCAAATAGGTATAACATGAAGACATCCGAATATATTTAATTGATAAGATTTGAATAATATTTTGATTGGGATTTATGTATATTGAATTAAATGAAGAGTATCATTATTAAATGGGATTTCAATTTGAGAGTCAAATGAAGGAATTAATAACTAATTTTGAGTTTAAATGATATCTTAATTGGGATTTGAATATATTGAATTAAATAGAAAACATCATAATTAAATAATACGTCAATTGGGGGTTTAAATAGAGAAATAAATAAATAATTTTAAATTTTTATATGGTCTTCTTAATTTTTAAATCTCTAATTCCAATCTCATTTGAATGAACAAAAAAAATTACACTTCTATAAAAAGGGAATATAATTTTAAGCTGCCTTAGATAATACTATCTCCGGTCCTTAATATAAGACCTTGTTTGACTTTTATTTTGGTCCTAATTATAAGATCCCAATCCACTTTGTCTTTCATATTGATGCATTTTTTTTTAAGATAGTCCCTCTAATAATTGTAGTCCTAACCAATATAGTTGATTAGTAAGGATATTTTAGGAAAGACAATGCCTATTTATTACAAATAACTAACTTAACTTCTTTCCTTAATTTCCTCAAGTTAGTCAACTGGGTCTTATAATTAGGACCGGAGGTAGTACAATTTATTATCATTTAAAATTTAATCAAATATTTTAATCCGTGCATTGTACGGGAAAGAAATCTCTAGTTATGGACTAAAGTGGGACCTTTGAACTAACAAGAGGTCAAAAAAAAAAAAAAAGAACTAACAAGAGTAAAACAAAACACTCTTGCTTATTCGGAGTCTGAAATGAGTTGAATTATTTACTATTTATAGATTATGTATAATTATATTGCGTGTCGGATACCAGATTGATGATAGGTTTAATGCCTATGATTCGGAGTAAAATCTCGTCCAATAATTAATATGGTCTATCTCTTATTCGCCTTGTGTTTAATACTTGTTTTCCTGATCAAACCAAAACGTTCACATTGAAACTGAACTCTTTAGATTAAGCGGATGGTGAAAATTGGTTCAACAATATCAAATGACATGTAATATATGACAAACAACATTAGAGAAATCATAAATTACCCGGTTGTTATGAGCATCCTGTATAATTTATTCGCACATGCAGTTTGTATAAGGCAGAATTTCATTTGACGGAGCTAATTTCAGTTAGGTTTTTCCGAATTAAAGAAACCTCATTCAAGTCTTAAACGATTCTAATGAAATTAGAAGCTAAAGCGTTAAGATGCAAATCTACCCATAATATATTCATGAATGCACAACTTGCGTCATAAAATTCACTTGGATGTAAAATTGTCAATGAATGTTTCAAGAAGGTGCAAAGATGCCATGATTATTAAATGTGAAAGACAACCATTACTTTCCTCTATGTGGCAAATGTTTCACTACCACAAAAACAATTATTTTCGTCTGTTCTGGAAGCTTTTTTTCATTTGTTTCATAGGAAACATTGACAGAAGAGATGTAGATAGGAGATACATATTCGTCTATTATAAATAGACGAGTATGATCAACTCATACTCATCTGCTTCTAGGAACAAACAAGTATGAATCCATCGTACTCGTCTATTCCCAATAGAACGAATGAGCATGCTGGAACATACTCATCTATTCCAGTATGGTGATTCATACTCGTTTGTTCCCACTTGAGCAGATGAGTATATTATTTTTTTTTTTAAAAAAATAAAATTCATAATTGTACATACCATAGTTTTCGTTTCAAGCCTGCAAATGAAACTGAACCAAAACAAACTACAACAACAACATCAATTCAGCAGAGCCTCATTCAGGATAGTTTCCATACAAATCGTATCTTAATAACATCCTAAATAATAACTTATGAAAATAACATCCTAATTAACTCAATGAAGAGGGGAAAAAAAAAACTAAAGTCTCTAAACTATGCCTTTCAACCTCATGTATCATTTTGAGAGAAATACTCTTGAAGAAATTGTCCTACCAAACGATCTCGAACAGTATCAATGTCTTCATTAGTGTAGGGGCTGTCATCATCAAAAATCTGTAAGTTTGTAAATAAAAAATTTCAATTTAATCAAGGTAAGATAATTAAAAGAAAGCAAGAAATCAAATGAAAAAAATCAAATAATTATAATCAAACTAATTATTACCATCTCAAAATCTTTAGTACATCTAGACTCAATAATTTCATACATGAAACGGATAATATAGTATCCGCACTCTGTACTTCCTGGTTGCAAATGACACTGTAAATCAAAAGTGAATCAGGGTTATCAAACCGAGATACGAATCGTGTATCGGAAAGCCGGTTTTATGAATCTTAAATCATACGGTATCGTGAATCGTAAGATTCATGAACAATTATTAAGGATAATATATAAGTAATTTTCATATGAAAAAATATTAGAAGTTTGTAAATATTAGATGCTATACACTGTCCAAAAAAAATAAGATAGCCAACATATGAAATTTTAAACATAAATAGTCCCCAAAATCAATTCAAAAACCAAACTCCTAACTTAAAAAGACTAAAGTCACTAAACATAAAATTCAATTCATCATTCATCATCTCCAAGATCAATGTCACTCAATTCATGATCATCCTCCATTAATAATGTCGCTTCTTCATCGTCCTCCTCTTCCCCATCTTCAACATTATCTTCATTCTCATTCTCTTGTTCCACTATAGATTTCCCTTTGCTACTGATTTTGGCATTCAAATTTCTTGGACCTAAGGAAAAAACAAAAAGCTTAAATAAGTATGATTTTATATATTTAAACTAAAATCAACTTATGTTTAGTTTTAAAATATTATACCTCTCTTTCTTTTCTTGCTTGGAGCTCCTTCATCAAAAGTGAAACTCTCATGTATGTCCATCCATGACCCATCCACTAGCAAACATGGGTTTTCTTTTTCAGTGATCCACTCATCATCAAATTCAATATCTGATAAACAAATTGGATCATATGTCTCTCTTTTTTCCTCTCTAATCTTTTGTCTCATCTCAAGTTGAAGGTTGTACTTGACAAATACAAGTGCATTTAACCTTTGTTGTTCTAAGCGATTTCTTCGTTTAGTATGCACTTGATCAAATGTGCTCCAATTTCTTTCACATCCAGTAGCACTACATGTGAGACTCAAAATTCTCATAGCTACCTTTTGTAACTCCTTGCCTTCTCCTCCATAACTTTTCCACCAAAGAGCTAAAAGAAAAATAAAATAATTAGGAATGTTTTTCAAAATTTAGATTTATTATTAAGGTTAAAAATTAAATTCTTATAAATACTATAGACCAGAGAACGATACCATTGTTTTTTGTTTCTAGTATCTATTGCCATGCTCCTTCCAAAAAGTCCCTTGGCAGACTTGAATGCCTCAAGCTGTTGATCAACTAAAAATCTTGTCTTCCTATCCGAAATCATTTTCTCAATAGTTTCATATAAACCAAAATAGACTTCTTGATCTGCATTAAATTTTTCATCATAATGGAACCTAAAAAAATAATGAATACGTTATCTTTTTCTAACATACAATTAAATAATAAATATTTAAACTTTAAACTTTAAATTGTATAAAACTTACTTAGGATTAAGAAAGTAGGCAGCCGCATGGAGGGGTCTATGTAGTTGTAAATTCCAACGAGTATCAATAATCTTCCATATCTTTTTATACCTTAATTCTTTCTTTTCAAAATTATCAGCAATCTCTTCTTTGGCTCTATCCGTTGCTTCATAAATATATGGCATAGCAGGTTTAGAGTCACCATCTACAAGTCTCAAAACTTTTACAAGTGGACTCACACACTTTAAGCAATATTTGATGGAACTCCAAAATCTAGAATCCCCAAAAATCATGTCTGCCATTTGCTTACCGTCACTTTTACTAGCAAAAGAACTAGAAACCCAATCATCTGAAGCAAACATGGTTCGAAGAGCATTCTTTTGCTGCAATATGCAACTTAGTGTAAGATAAGCTGTTGCAAATCTTGTCACTGCTGGTCTAGCTAATTCTCTTCCTCTGGAATATTTTCTATACAAGTTAAGGACCCATGTATGCCTATAAATGAATGTTGTTATTTTCTTCGCATTGGTGATGGTATTATAAAATACTGGAAGTTGCCCAATGTCTTCAAGGACTAAATCAAGGCAGTGAGCTACACAAGGGGACCAAAATAATTTTTTTTCCCTTCTCTTCTAACATTTTCCCTGTTGCCATGAGATTTGAGGCACCATCTGTCACAACTTGGACCACATTATCCTCCCCAATTTCTTCAACTATATTGTCTAGTAATTCAAACATTTGTTTAGCATCTTTAATCACACTACTTGTGTCCACCGACTTTAGGAAAATAGTCCCACCAGGACTATTAACTAAAAAATTAGCAAGAGACCTCCCTTTTCTATCAGTCCAACCATCACACATCAAAGTACAACCCCATTTCTCCCATTCCCTCTTATACTTCACTAAACTTTCTTGAATTTTATCAATAGCTTTTTTCAAATGAGAAACTCTCACCTCATGATAACTTGGAGGTTTCAAACCCCTACCATATTCACCAATAGATTTTAACATTTGAATAAACAATGGACTTCTTACCAAGTTGAATGGTAAAGCATTACTATAGATGCATTTACAAATATCTTGAATTACTAACTCTCTATCTTTTACCATCTCATTCATCATTTTCTGTTTGATAGTTTTTGATGTCCCTTCCTTCCCTTTAGCATCTTGAGCAGTTGCTTCTTCAAATATTTCAACACTACCAACATCTTTATTTTTTTTCTCTATCTTCTAGCATTTTAACAAATCAATTTTTAACTTCATCAGGAACACTTGTATAGGTACTCACATTCTCTCTAGTTCCAGCCAAATGATGTTTCATCCTGGCTACCCCACCCCAACATTGATGTGAATAGTATTTGCATTTAACCATAAGTCTATGGGGAGGAACACTTTCACAATGTTTCCATGTAATGTCAGCTTCCTTTTTTTTCTTATTCTGATTCTGACTGATTTTTCCCACCAATATAATATCCAATAAAAAAATAGAGTAAAAAAAATCATCAAATAGGAGTAGAAGATTAGAGAAAGAACCAGCAAAGGAGAAGACTTCAATATTCAAACTTCAAAGCTTCCAAATTTCAGCCCCATGGAACCAGTAGAAGAGAAGAAAAAAAGCAACTAGCGTGGGGCACAAGATATGGAGTAAAACGTAAAAAGAAGAGCAAGAAGGGAATAAAAAATAGGGTTTGGCAGTTACTTCCCATATATAACCGAAAGAAAACAAAAAAATAAAAAAAAGAAAATAGGGGGTTTCACTGTGTCGGGTCGCACATAGATTCGAGTCGGATTTGCGCGACCTGACGTTGCCCAGAATCACACGATCCACCAACGTCGCACGATTCACGAGATTCTGGCCTGAATCGCGCAATTCAGGCTGCGATACTGATGCATTGAAGATACACTGGGAGATTCATATCTCCCAGTGCAAATTTTGTAATGAATCGTGCGATTCGTATCCCTAATCGCACGATTCTGATAACCATGAAGTGAATCACAAAGATAAATATACGTATATATAATATATGAAGTAATTGTTGATGAAATTGAAGAACTTAAATTGAAACACTTACTATTGATTTGTGCCAGGTCATCTTGCTATTTTTACCGTTACGCTTCCCACGTCGTATATAATATGTTTTCAAAGACCTATGACCAAATAAAAATGACCAGATATTAGAATAATTTAATGAAGTAATAAAATCATATATTAGATTATAAAAACTTACGTATTGAAAACACATTTAATATTTCCACTTGGACGACGACCCAATAAATCAAACCAGCAAATGACATTGTTTGTGAGGCAAGTAACGCACAATGACCAATGTTTGCTGAAATATTAAAAAGAAATGAAACCAATGAATTCATGAAAAATTATATATGTATAAATAGATATAAACTACTTATTGTTCAATAATTGGGGCAAAATAGCAAGATGATTGGGTTTCTCCAATTGTGTTATCCATGTATCTCATCCGCTTATCAACGGGGTTCTTCAAAGGTTGCAAAGTAGCTTGACACATGAATCCATATAAGTCTCCCTTTCCTATAGGAGTGCACAAGTTGTGGAAATAACTATAATCAAGTTAAAATGAATCAAAAATTATTTCATATGCATAAGTTAAAAATGACCAGATAAGATGAATATGATAGGCCCATGCTCGTCTGTTGGCCCCCAATAGACAAGTATGCACTACTAGAAAAAGTACATATAACGACGCAAAACAACAACTTAAGAAGAAAAACGCCGTAAAAAAAAAAGGTGGCATTTTTGTAAATAAATGCCACAACCCTTCACTTTCCACAGCGGTTTTCTAAATAATTGCTGTGGAAAGTTTCAAAATATACCGCGATAGGGTTGTCTTTTTCACATTTTCACAGTTTCATATGAGTGCGCTGTGGTCCCCCTCTATTCCACCACCACCAAACTGCCATTATTGGCCATTCCCTCTCCTTTCTTGCTGTTTAAACTCCTCCATTTCACTTGTAGTTGCTTGCTGCCATCTACTGCCGTCTTTACCGCCTATATTCTCACATTTGCATCTTCTCCACTAAGTGACTATCCTCTTCTTTCATTCTTTTCATTTTTTCTTAGTTTTTTTTGGATATTTTAACCATAAAAATCTATTGTATTTCAAATGGGTTGATTGGTTTTACATTTTGGATATCTTGTGTTGTTCATTTTACATTTTTTATGTGCTTGAGATGTTGATTGGTGGTATTTGGTCTTAGAAAACCTCAATTCCTTCCTATATACAGCATTAGAAACATATTTAAATGTTTAAAGTTGATTAGTTTTGAAGTTTTTTATTTTTTAAATAATTTTTTGATATTTATTTCAAAATTTTGGTATTTTTTGGTAATAAATTTGAGAATTTACTAATAAATAATTTGTTTAGTGTTTTGTGAAATTCTTTTTTCGTTATGAACTTTGATTGATGATAAATTGTTGTTTAAAATTTCATGATAAACAGATATCATTTATGTTTCCATTTTGGATTCAGAAATTTTAATCTTAAGAATCTTTATTCATTAAATTGGTTTAACATTGAATTGTTACTTTTGTTTTATTTGTTATATTTCTTCAACTTTATCCTATCTTTGTTTATTACATTGTTGGTTTGGTTGATTGATTGATTTGTCTATTTTTTAAATGATTTGGGATTTGTAATAGGAAAAATTAGAATGGACGACCTGAAGGGAATAATATTTTTAGAAAAATTTATTTCTTTAAGTATGTGTTTTAATTTATTTTTGCAAAAAGCTAAAGTTTATATACAAATCTAATTTTATTTGTTCTATGACATTAAATTAGAAGCAAGTGTTCCAAAAGAAATTATATTAAATTAATTTAAAATTTTTATAAAGCTTTATGCATGTTGAAATATGTTATGAAGAATAGTTTTGATTTAAATTAAAATAATAAAAATAATTTATTATTAACTATTTTACAAAACTTATATATGTTTGTCTGATTATATATTTTTATTGACATTTTCGTTCATTCACTATGTATGACTATTTTTTTTAGAAATTACTTAATCTAACTTTTAAAAGTAATTACAACTATGCTTATTGACTCTGTAGAACAATCAATCGTAGTTGGATAAAAGCTAAGAGAATTAACAAAGAATATGAGGATGGTGTTGAAAAGTTTTTTGAGTTTGCTAAGAGAAATGCCCTTAGTAAAAGAGATGGATTGTATTATTGTTCTTGTGTCAAAAGTTCAAACAATAGTCAACGGAGTATTCTTGAGATAAGAGAGCATCTTGTTTGTGATGGGATAAATTTACGGTATACAAATTGGATATGGTATGGAGAAATGAGAAAGACTACAATGTCTAGAAAAGAGAAAATTGTGAATGAAGACTTTGGTGATAGAATTTCGGATATGTTTCGTAACATATGGTCTGAGTCTTCTACACAGTTCTCTCCCACATGTGAAACCTTGTGTAGTGATGCAGAGACGTCTTTGTACCTAGAGTGTAAAGATGATTACATAAGGTTGACAACCGTGTTGAAATTGATGAAGTTGAAGACAAGAAATGGTTGGATTGATACTAGTTTCACAAAATTGCTTGAACTGTTGAGTGATATTCTTCCAAAAGGGAATTCACTTCCAAAATGAATGTATGAGACAGAAAATTTTGTGTCCAATGGGTTTGGAATATGAGAAGATACATGCGTGCTCTAATGATTGTATATTGTTTAGAAATGAGTATGAAGGGTTGAATAAGTGCTCTAAATGTGGGACTTCAAGATACAAAGTTAAGAAAGATAATGGTGATTATAATGAGATGATCAAAGGTCCTCCTTTGAAAGTTCTGTGGTATCTTCTAATAATATCATAATTTAAGCGTTTATTTGCTAATGCCACAGAAGTGAAGAACTTGAGATGGCATCCCGATGAGAAAAAAGAAAATATGTGATGGAAAGCTTCGTGTCACACCCTGATAATTTTATTCTAACTGATGAATGATTTGTGACTGATTAAGGCCAAGTAGTATAGTAGACTGGTAGAGGATCCAGGCTATGAGGAAAAATCAGGATAGGGACATAACGGTCATTTCTGAAAAGATCAGTTAAAGAAGGGCAGTATTGGAAATAATGTCCAAATTTCCTGAAAAATTCCCAGAAAATCATGAAAAATAGAAAGGAGGGTACAGAATAATGTTTGAGGCTTAGAAGATGAATATGAGATTAAAAATAATTTATCAGGAAATTATTTGTAATTATTGGAATTTTTGGTTAATTAAGGAAAATTAGCCAATTTCCATTATTTAAAATATATAGAGGCCTCAAAAATTCAAGGAAAAATATGGATAAATTATGTGACATATTATCCTAATTTATAAAATTATTTCCCACCTTTGGATGTACAAAGGTTAGCTTAAAGGATATTTATTACCGAATTATTATCGGTAGAATAGTGATTTTTGACAGAATAAAATTTAGAAAATTATAGAGGGAGATAGAACTTGAGAAAAATCATGGATTACCCTTGGAATGAGGGGAATTTAATGAGGTGTTGAAATCGGAATTTTGTGACAGTAAATTGGACAGGATTGCTGGAAAATCGGGCCGGAAATACACAAATAATCAGTGGATTGCACTGATTATTGGATGAGTCATATTTTTTCCAATATTAAGAGCAATAATTCGGCCAAAATTAGAAGGAGAGGACAAAGTTGGAATTTTCCACATTGTTCAAGGGCATAAAGGGAAATAAGAGACAAAATAATAAAATAATATTTATTTTCCACATGAAAATCACATGGTGATTAGGTGTCCCTACATGTGTCACTTTCTTATGGTGAGTGCCCTAAGATTTGTCCACGTGTAAAGTAGAAAAAAATGAACGGCCGAGATCGCATCTTTTTCCCGAAGGGCATTTTCGGCATTTTGAAATATCAAGGCCTATAAATACCCCCCCTTTCATGAAGAATTCGGCCAAGAGGTGTTTGTTGGGAGAGAATTTTGTGTTCTTGAGTTCTAGGAGAGAGAAAGGA